ATATAACAACATAACTAGAATAAATTAATTTACTACTAAAATAAATAAACACTAAAAAATTATCCATTAAACCAGCTATACTCAATTAGTTACAACTTACAACATTTACATTTAAAATATATCCTGTTACCAATTTACGAAACGAAAAGTATTATTAACAAGAATTGACCAATTCTCGTTCGACATTACCAACTATCTCATTCAAAAAAGTTTGTCACGCTCGCTTCCAAATACTCTCTATCATTATACACATTCACGAAGCTTTTAGTTGGTCGTTAATCATAGAATGAAAGAAAAGTTAGAAACGATGCTTCGACTGTTAGTGGCGCGTGTCGAGTTGCAAGAGGGCGCTCACGCGCGTATAATTACTCGAGTCAATTTCCAAGCTTGGCACCGTGTTGGCTGATCGTACACGGCATAGTTAAAATTTCGGGAATAACCCATCGTGGTTGAGAACTTGTTGTATCTCTGATGCGAATTTCAGGGAAGCACGTGTCTCTCGCAGAACGCGAATCGAAACTAGGTTATGTTATATGTATGTACATATGAATAACAAACTATTTTTTTCTTATAACAATCTTTGCTTTGTTTCTTTTTTTATAGTACGTGAAGTAGTTGAAATTATTATCATCAATGCGTTCGTTTTCTCTTGCAATTGTACGCATTTCGTTATTAGAAGCATTTGATTGTATTTAATATTACGAAGAATGTATATGTGTGTGTATTTTTTATTATTATGAGTTTAAAATCGCATCTTAGGATATTGGCGATATTATTCTATGAAATATTGTGAAATTTTTTTTAAATTAGACATGGAATGTAAATCAATGATTGTTGGTATTAAATGTTTTCTATCACTGAGGATTTGTTTTTATTCTGATGGAATTTAGAATTTTTGCAATTCAACATTGGAGGATATGATTTCTTGTTAAAACCATATTGCAATCATAAAAACATGCAATCATGATTTATTTAGAATTTCGTCGATTAAAATGTTAAGAAATTATTGCCAATTTATTATTTAATCTTTCATAAGAAAAGATGTGTTAGAATCGTTTATAATTTATAATTTATCCTTATTTATTCCTTTTAAATATTTTGTATCTAGTTCAAAGTTAATTATTTTTTTTTTTGCTTTTTGTTTAATGAAAGTTGAATTATTAATCTTCGATATTTTTAATATTTATGAATCGCGCGCAATGGATCGTGAATAATTCAGATAATGTAATCTTTTCCGAAACACTCGCAAAAAAAATCTCATAAAATACGGCTACCTGACGATCGTGGTTTTTTCCTGTGCTTTTACGACACGTATAAATTTGTTTCAAAATATACGAATTTAAATAAAACGAATTATTCATTGAATTATTCATCTTTATGTTGACATTTCTTCCTCGAAGAAAATTAAAAAAGCCTTTATTTTTTTTGATAAATCTCTCTTCAATAATAACCTAGGTTTTATCTCATAAGCTTTTTCAAATAAGCTTCTCGGTATCATTCTCGATCATTTTATTCTCAATAAAAATATATTTAAATAAAATCCCATTATCTTTTAAAAAATTAGAATAGAAATTTAACTTTTCGTATCGTAACAATTTGACAAATCTTCATAACAAGGAAGAACGAATATTAATCCAAAAAGTATTCACTGACGTCATACAACTTCCAATAAACTTTATCAGTGAATTCATTTTAATTGAAATGCTCAATATATTTCTTATATTTCGAGCGTATAAACATTGAATATATATATAGATCGGGTAAAGCAGTTGCACTTCGTACAATGGCAGTGTGCAAAGATCGCCGGCGGCCAAGTGCACTTCCGATGCATCCTTTGCAGTTTGCTACAGACAGGTGACGATCCATTGTGCCGGTAAAATATTGACACTCGATATTTTCCTGCACTCAACATTGGGGAAGGAAAAACGTTTACACGTAAGCCCATCTTCGTGATGGGGATCCATGCTTTTTGCTTAACCGCCTCCTACGCTTTCTCGTCGATTTAATTTCTCCTCTTATCAATTTAAACGCTGAACGTTTACGGTAATTATTTTCATTTTCGCACACTCTTTTCACTTTTCATTTCATCCAGTGTTCTTAAACTCTTATTTATCGGCAAAATGTCATTCAAATTTTTTTTAAATTTTCTTGATAATTACACGTTAAATGAATTTTTAATTTGATTCAAAGTGGAAGAATATAAAATTGAAGTTTGATATATGCATTTTTTATTAAAGTTTAATTACGCGAATAATTTTAGCTATTATATTTATTGTAAGTTTATTTAAGTTTTATTTTTATTTATTGTTTAAAATTTCATCACGTTATCTTTATAGTCATAGTGTCTGGTAAGCGCTTGTATAATGTCAACATAACCTAAATTTATTATGGTACTGATTAACTCTTTAATGTGTGTTCCAAAGAATATTGAATATTAAATATTCATATAATAAGGATAGTTTTGAATACGGAATAACAAAATTTACCGTAGTAAAATTTATAGTAGTCAAAGTTGCAATTTAATCTGTGATAAAAGTTTTGTAATCTTCTTGTTAGTGAAAATAATTAAAGTTACGGTTAAGTGCCATAATAAACTGTATTGTAGTGAACTACTTTCATCTTATATTTAAGTTTATCAATATAGTGTAGCTAATCAAAATAGAAGTTTAGATTAAAACAAGAAGAAGATTTTTACAAAGATTAGAATATAATATATATTAAAAAATATATATAAAATAAAGTTTAACTTATAAGTATTACTTCAATCGAAAAATTATTTTCCTAAAAATAATTTTAATCCTAATTCAATTATCGCAAAGGAAAGGGAACGAAAAGGAAAACGTTTGATTTCACTTTTAAATATTCTTATAGAGAAAATAAAAAAAGTCTCATAAAAATTTCTAAATAAATATAAAATTTTATGGATCACTTGTAGCTACAAGTTTATTTATAAATTTTTATACCATCCAGATCTCACTTATGCTTATTGCCGTCAATAGAGATTTTATGTTCGAAAATCGATGCAAAAGTAAAAAGATTAATATCGTTTTATACCATCGACGTTCTAAAACCTGACTTCCCTTTCAGAAAGAATTTACAGTATCGATCACTCTATTCAAGTTATACTATCTATACGTATACAAACCAATGTCAATTATATTGAAATTGCAAATGGAATTCGTTCTACTTTTTATTCGAATATTGAACACGAAATTGATATCGCGTTATCCTTGACTCAACTTTTTCGCTTTTTTTTCTTCGATATGACGAGTAAATAGAGAACGTTGCAGGGAGGATGGCCTTTTTCGAACGGTCTGGCTGGTTATCAGGGTAATGCCGTAAATGTCGAGCATAGAGGGTTAACTCTGAATAATTAATACAAGGCGTAGCAAGTTTCATTGGATTGTGAATCAAGGGTCCTTAATCTTTTCCAACGTTGACCCAGATTAAACTCAAAGCGTCTCGTGATCCTGTCGTTTCGCTCGAGCTCTAGATATATATATTTACAAATATTTAATGCTTGGCGATAATTTTTCTCGCGAGAAACATCGCACGTGATGCTTTCGTGATCTCCTCGTTTCAATAAAGCTTTAAATATACATGTTTACGAGTATTTAATTTCTTATTGTAATTTTTCTCGCGAGCGAACGTTGTACGTGATGTTTTAAGAATAAAAAATTTAGAATTAGAATTACAATGTTTGAATAATTTGTAACAAATGATTAAATAATATTATTCATTTCAAAATATGGAAATAAATTGTTTTAAATTTTTAAAATGATATAAAATATTATTATTTTTCGAAGAAATTGATTAGAATCATGATGAAAATATGTTGTAAGGAAATTGTAGTATAATATGCGAAAAATTTTATATCGTTTTCGAGAAAGTGCTAAGATATGTTCTGTCGATATTGGTATAAATATGTTCCAATAGTATTGTCGGGATAAATTTAATAAAATAAAATAATAAAGTAAATAAATTATAAAATAAATTATATGCAAGTGATACATACTTATTCAATTTAAGAAGATAGTGATAGTAGCAAAGTATAAAACAATTAAAATATAAATTTAGTGACGATTTTAGTGATCAATATGAATAAAAATATTAAACAAGAAATAATGGAAAAATACTTTAAAACAACATGTATCGCATAAAAGATTTTTGGATCAAAATTTTATGGAACATATACATATGAAGCATTGAAAGGATTAAACTAATAGTTTTTTACATATTATTAAATGTATATCTTTTTTTAAAAAAGAAACTAATATTTAATATTTGATTAATTTTAATTCCAATAATGCATCAGCATTACATCCTTTTTGGTATCAAATTAATATATATAGTCGATCATCTAATCTTTTTCTCATTTTCAAGCAAATATTTTATAATTATTAATAAGGATATTAATATTAATAAATATTAATATTATAATTAAATATTAATATTTTATAATTATTAATATAAATAAAGCAGATATTTTATAATTAAATGAACATATAAATAGAGAAACATAATTTGATATCCTTTTCTGACAAATGGATATACAAAGATCAACTTTTTCTTTTTAAATGGAATCACATAATTTTAAAATAATAATAGATCCTCCATCCTCCTTGAAATAAATTAATATTCGCGCAATTTTTCATTTTTCTCATTTTCAAGTAAATAGATATTTTATAATTAAATGAACATATAAATAGAGAAACATAATTTGATATCCTTTTCTGATAAATGGATATACAAAGATCAACTTTTTCTTTTTAAATGACATCATATAATTTTGAAATATAATAATAGATCCTTCATCCTCCTTTGAATAAATTAATATTCACACAATCTTTCATATCTTTCTTATAAAACGTTATTTCGTAAAAATCTTTCGTTCCTCGAAAATTTTAAAATCGATCTCTATCATCCTTCGGGTTTCAAGATTGGAAGAAACACGAATTCACGCGACATATATCCCGAGTCGTATTCGATCGTTCACTTACCGTCTTGTTCCCTAAGTTCTTCACGCGGCAATTCAAGTACGTAGTTTTGCCCAGGATGGTGGTCACGTTCTTCGAATTCGACATGTCGAAGTACGGACCGTATTGCGTACTGCTGTCATCCAGACTGTTCTGATGAACGTTGTTATTCTTTCCGCCGCTTCCGTGCAGCATGCTGTAGCACTGCGCCCCTGTAAATCAATGCAACGACCGATTAAATCTCATTCAAACTGCCAACTTGCTCGTTATCGCTTTTCTGGCTAACTGCAAGGGAACACTGGACTCTCTGTTCGTTAACATTTGAGAACAATGGAGAGATTCATCTTCGTTGTTTCTATACGTGGAAACGAGGCTGCAGTGTGATGAAAACGGATTTTAATTCGTCAATTATAATTTCGTGTATATGTCTAATTTATTAAGAAAATAAATTGAAACAATCGCTTAAAAATTAAAATCGTACATGCTAATTTGTAAAGTTGGTAAAAATTGAACATAAAATAATGATTCGTCATTTATATTTATATTTTAATTGGCTAGATTTTCTATAGATCATGATCCATAAGAAATTGTTATTAAATAAATAACTAATAAAATATTAAATATTATTAATTATTAAATATTAATATTATTAAATAAATAACTATTCTTTTGCGTATATGCAAATATTACATTATACAATTCTTTGATTATTGATTTAATAAAAGAAAATATTCGATGTATTTGTTTAGTTATAAATTTAAGTTCAGAGGATGCAAGATTGAATTTATTCGATATAAATACGGAGTATTAATATATTTGTGGAATATCTTTAAAGGGTTGATTTTAAAGATCAAAGAAACGTAAAAGTAAGCATAAATTTATTATTGATATACAGAAAAAATGTTTGTCGAGGATTATTTATTAAATTATAAGCAATTTAAGTTTGCGTTAGATGAAACGAGGCGTAGACAGATTGAAATGGCAACGGAGAGAGAGATGTCTTACTTTATTTATTTCGTTTCATGTTGTACAAACTTAAATTAAATTGCTTATAACTTCAATCGATACTTTTACAACTTACGCTCTTTAAAAATCGATCTTCTAAAGACGTTCTACGATTTTATTAATATCCTACATACAGCCAAAGTTAATTCGAATATCGATCTTTAAGATTAAATCATTTCATAAATAATATCATTCTAAAAATTTAATTTTTATTTTTTATTTTTATTTTTTATTTCTCTTTTCAAAAGATATTGCACTTCTTCTCAATTAAAAATATTATTTTAAATGTTTATTTCATAACCTCCATTTTCAAAAACTTTGTCATATAAATAAATGATAATTCAATGTTTGAATGGAAGAATACAATTTACTTTTGTTTATCATTGTTTTTAATATATAATAAAACATTGTATCAAAAAATTCTTACGTATTTTTCTAATCATTATTAATTTCATAATTATATAATAATTCTTTTTCATACTCAAATTGGATTTATAAAACATTATTCAATAATAACAGAATAACTTAATATATATTTGAGATTAGAATTGACAACTTTCAAAAATAGTTTATAATTTTTAACATTTTAATCATTATTAATTTCATAATTATATAATAATTCTTTTTCATACTCAAATTGGATTTATAAAACATTATTCACAGAATAACCTAATATATACTTGGGATTAGAATTGACAACTTTCAAAAATAGTTCATAATTTTTAACATTTCGTCTAGAAAAATTTCGATTCTTTCTCTAATAATAAATTACGTTTTTTTTACATATCATCTCTTTACAGAATAATAACAATCAAAATTTAATATAAAAAAATCCAAGCGATATCGTGTGTTTCGTAAGTACATGAGAACGATCTTGTCTCGCGTATACGTTTTTAAACGTCAGTCAAGCACCCGCGGCAATTCAGGTGATAAATGTCCATGTTTTTATCTGTGTATCGCTCCATAGTTACGGCGTTTGAACTTTCCGAGTGAATCTGTTCAACTGGTCGTTTGTGCAGGGCTGACAAAGCCATTTGCACGCTTGATACTTGGCCACAATCGGTTGCATCCCCTATTGTTTCGTCACTGGGGTGGAACTATCGCGGTGCGCGCACTCGATTCGACCGTCCTCTTTATCGAACGAGTTCGTCGTCGATGAAATTTCTTAATATACACCGATGTAAAGATAAATTGTACAGATAACGGGACGGGGCTGGCGCGTTATTGAATCGCGAACGTCACCGTAAATTTCATTCCGGTTGATATCGGTGTATAGCCGCTTTGCAATCGGTTGCACGATTCTCTGTTCAGACGTCCCGACAAGTGGTTGACAGCGTCATAAAAGGAGGGAATGTTCGTTTTGAAAATTTATATGGAAGCCGTTGACGAATCCCGCATTTGCCCCAATCCAAGATATCCTTTCTTGGCGTATTTTTATCCGAATTAAAGAATGAAAGTAGAAAGTTCGAATTTTGACGCAATTGATTTGCCTGTAAACAATAGACAACTCTATTTTTGGATGACTTGAGCAATGAATAGAAAATTAATATTTAATAAATTTCTGTATTGTAAACATATCTTTTTTTATTATCTCCTTTTTGTTCAAAAAAAAAATATAAATATCCTATATTAAATAAATGAAGTGGAAGAATACAATTTATTCTATCATTATAATTTTCTATCATTATAATTCTATCATTATAATTTTTTCTATCATTTTTAGTATGTAATAGAAAAATTCTGTACTTTGCTAAATAATTTTACATTAAGATTTCATAATTAATAATTTCGTAAATAATAAAACGAAAAATAAAAATATCCATTTTGAAAAAAGATTTCAAAGAAAGCAAGTATTATTAATATTTTAACGATAAAATTATATTTATAGAATGAAATAGTCTTCATCAATTGTAATATAATGTTTTATAATTTATTAAGTATATTGAAACTACAATTAATACTATTAATTCCGACATTCAAATAATCGATCATTTATTTAAAAATTTCTTAATTACAATCGTGTTCTATATATATATTTCTTTTATCTATCGCGTGAGATAGAAACGAGCGATTGATCGTTTCTTTGCTTTTACGATTTTTAATCTCGAAACGTTAGAGAAAGATTCGGGGTAAAACGGTCCGTAAGTGTTTCCGAGTTCGTCCAGGGGGGATACAGTTTCAAACTGTTCGCCACTTTTGGCGAGTTGCAGAGCAAACTTGCGGAGAATGAACTTTAATGCAGTATACCGAACTTTTTCGATGGAAGAAGGAGGAGCCGTTGATTTCACCGCTGCCTCGAACAATTATCGAACTTGTTTATTATTTTAACGCGAGAAATCCTTACCTCCGTTTTTCGATCATTTAGAGAATCGAATCGAACGATAACGAAATTTTATCGAGGATGGAATATATATCCTTTCGCGCGGAAGGAGAGATATTCCTTTGATTATTCGAATGCTTGAATATTAAATTTATACGACGTTGATGTTTGATCTTGATTGCTTCGATCCATTTGTTAAGTTTTAATTAGGACATATTTTATTTATATTTTGTTTATTGCATGTTCGAGAGACGAATAGTTTATCTTCATTCGTTCAACATTTTTTTTTATATCATGCTTTTATATGTTGCATTGAATTTATTAATTCCATCAAAAGATTATTTATCTCGATTTATCAATGATCAATCGAGAGAGAATATTTTTGGAGAAATTTTATTTCGCGATAAAAATGAAAGAATAAAATTCATTATTCCCGTCTCATATCACGTTACTTTTGTATTTTATTAAGTGTAAACAAGTATTAAATATTGTTCAAATAAATTTGTGCTTGCGTGCGACAACAGATAAAAAGAATTGCGCACAAAATTCGGAATAAAATTAGACTATCATCCAACATTAATTAAACATTCTTAACAAGACAATAAGATAAAAAGAATTAAATGATAATTAAAATTCCAGAAGCAATGAAGAAACGTAAACTTTCTGGTCGTAAATATTGATAAAAATCGTGGAATTTTACAACAGTATAATTTAAAAACCATAAAAACCAATTCATCATCTGCCTAATTGCTTACATAAACATAGATATTTTTAGTAAATTGATATAAGTAACTTTCTATTTTGCACACGATGTGAATGTTGCAAGAAAAAAAAACAATTTTCAAGTGTTACTCCCTTTTGCAAATTGTCTTCACCGGTGCAAATAGCACACAAAATCGTCAAAAAGGGGGAAACACAAGAGTAATTGGCTTGTTATCACTTTGGCAGACGTTCTAACCGCAACGATTCGTTTTCTACGGATTTCGACGGTAATTAGAGCGTACTGTCGAGAACTGGCGAGTACATAATCGAATTTTGTTGCTCTTAATTGCGACACGATTACACGCGCGGCCGACTCGCGTAAATATTGAATTTAACCGTGTGCTCGTCTAATCCTATTCACCTCGATTTCTTCTTCGGATAATATCTTAATAAATCAAAGATAAAATTATCAATTAAAAGGGATTCTTATACGAATGAAATATTAATTAACAGCTTCGAAGTCGCAAAGGAATGTTTTCCTATTTCGTAATAAAATATTTAATGATAAATTCAAAAATATTAGATTTATTCATACATAATTTCTTCTAATCTATCAATGTATTTATTAATTTAATAATATCTTTAAGTACATTCTGTTATAGAGGAAATTTACTAGTTTTCACCTTTTTTATTGGATATTAACAATTTTTCTTTTAATATAATAATATTACATTTGTTATATTCATTTGTTATAAAAAGAAAGTATTAATATCCGATGAAAGAAAATCAATATTGATCGATATTGTAAGTCGATACTGGACAATTCTCCGTTAAAGATACAGAATCTTGTTTTAATCCTCGGACAACCAACTGACTTATGGCGACACGAATGGCCAACTGTGAGTTATACGAAGGGGAGACTGGAAAGGCCTGATACAGCTTTATATTTCCTATCTAATAGAGAATCGTATACCACAATTTAAGTTATAATATATAAATTATGATTGTTACAAATTTATTGATCAAAAATTTTTTCATCAAAAAAGAAAGAAAATTTTTTTGTCATAAAGTATCAATTATTTTACATGAATGAAACGTTTAATTGATTATGTATATGGTTTATTTTGATGCTTTTTAGTTTAAAGTTAGCTGTTTTGTTAGAATTATTGTTTTAAAATTTTATCT